ACTCCCACGAAATAACGTCTACGTCGGTTTTTAATTATACCACGTAATTACACAACACGACCTTTAAACGTAAGTATATTGTGGTGTATCTTTACGAGCCTGACAATTGATAGACCTTGTTACGTAATAGTGTATAATACGCCTGCTAACGAAAATAGACTAACCCATAAAGGGGAGAAAGTATTCGTGTGAATCAGAATATTTCTATTGTATGTACTTATATATTTAGTTATAAAAACTAACCAACTGTTTTGATTCTTTTAGAACAATGAGTGCATTGATAGCACACAAGCTGTTGAAATTATTTGTTATATTCTGCTGTAAAAGTTAAGCTGCTAAAATTAAACTATAAAACTTTCATAGTAGATTCGAGATCGCCCTGCGGCGCGTGGTCGGGTTTACACGGGGTGTACGTTTATGATCTTCGGTGGCACTAAAAGCACATATCACATATCTTATTTCCATTACATCGAGAAGTATGCTTTACATTTTTAACAATTTGTGAGATCTTAATAGTCTCCTTATCCATATACAGCCAGCGGATTCTTTGGGCTTCCGCCTCCGCTGGACCTCCACCTGCGGTCTCGCTACTTTTGACTTTACTTTAAAATATAAAAGTGACTCTTTACGGACGGCCATATTCAAAAATTGTTTAAATATATTTCGACCGCAAATTATTATCAGGCAATCCTAGAATTCCTTTTGCGCCCATTTTCAGCCCAACCATAGTGGCTATATCGAAAAACGGCGAAAACGAAATTTTTTCTCTTCATAATTCAGTCAGATTAGAGCAAAACGCTGGTATGGCGACTATATATAGAAAAATGGCGAAAAACTAATGTCAAAATGTCATGTCATCGCAAATTATTATCAAGCCGATAGAGATCCCCAATGCTATTTTTGAAAGGAATTAGCGAAAATTTTTTTTCGGCCTTAACGAACGCTTGTATGGCGGCTATATTTGAAAATGGCGAAGAACCAATTTTCACACTTCACAATATTTAAAAAAACGTCTGATTATAAAATTCCTAATAAGACAATTAATAAGATTATTCTTTTAAACACCGTTGATATATCCTTGAATACGTAAACATTTAATTTGATTTTGTAAATTATTAAATTTTTTAAGTTTGTTTATAATTGATTCCGTTGATTTAACCAAAGTACTTACTTATAATTAATTAATAGTAGCGTCATTTGTACCTACTTACTATCGTTTAAAAAGTCGAAAATAAGGTAGGTACTAAAATAAATTATTTTTAATATTATTATTAATTTATATCGACTTCTTAGGTTTTCGCGATTGTTACACATATGTAGTTATTAATTTCTAATCAAAATCATGATAAAATTCAGAATTCATTATTTTTTTATAGATAACAGATACAGTAATACTATGACATCAATTGTTATTAAATAGGCTATTTTATACCAATAGCCTATTTAATAACAATGAAAATGCGCTTTATATATAAAATATTTACTCATTGTTTTATATTATGCAAAAATAAATACTCCTAGCACCTATCTATTAATATATTTTGGTGATCTCTGCAACTTTACACTTATATTATTAAGTCATACGTAGCTAATAAAAAATTGAATAAAGGTCAATGATTTGCCTATTCCAAATTGGTGTTCTAGTACACAATATTATGCTCTTGACCGTACCTACGTCAAAGTCAAAGTCAAAGTCAAAGATTATTTATTCCATAGGTAAAATAAATTTACACTTGAAAACGTCACATATTACTACATATTACTAGTGTCAGTTGGGAGACAGTTTATGGCCAGTATCGAGTTTAATGACATTGACAAATTGCATCGATGGTGTCTCACCATTGACTTACTTGTCTCACCAAGAAATATTCACAAAATAATGCTCATTTTCATAATTATGTTTTAGTAGATGAATAAATTATGGATGGCTATCAATTTGAAGAAACAGTCGGTACACGATTTTTTTATTTTATTAATAAAATATTGTGACGAATGATCTTCTGACTTTCATTATTAAAGCACTTTTTTTAATGGGGTAAGGTGCAAACTTGGTGCAAAATAGAATAAGATTTAAGGAACCTTCATTTAATATATAATATTCATTATAATTACCATCACAGGTAACTTGTACTTCCGATCTACAGTTAGTAGCCGAAAGACAGGCAGAAGCCGCAAACCGGGTAAGTAAACAGAACAGGCAGAATTAAAGCCGTTTCAGGGCAACAAAAATAATTAAAGCTTTCGTTTCGTATTAGCGTACTGCAAGATTTACGGTTAAAATAAGAATATTTATTTCTCTTAAGAATACACATTCACATAAAGAAAAATTATACTCGAGGCAAGCGGCATGTCGCGAACAGATGCAAAGCGCCCGGACGGAATGACTCTCATTCCTTGGAGTATGGACCGGGCACTGGTGTGGAACGCCACATGAGACACACTTGCCTCATCCCATCTCCAACACACCAACCAGCAAGACGACTGCCTCCACAGCTGAGCTGGCGGAAACAATAAAAGTACTAAATACCAGGATCTCGGCTCCCTATTTACAGCCTTTGGAGTTGTAACCGTTGGCCCGTGGGGTCCCAGCGCCCTTCATCTGTACAAAATTTTAACAAAAAAATTAATAGATTGTCTGGAAAATCCAAGGGCCGGTAGCTACCTTGCCCAACGCATTAGCATAGCAATAACAAGGGGGAACGCTGCCTGCGTCTTGCCGCGAGAAGCCCGAGAAAACCGACCCCAAAAGTCGTTCATCCCCTAGCTTGCCACCTTTAGAGGTGGGATATTTTATTGAAATTGAAATGGGGTCCCACTACAGAGCTATGTACCTTTTTTCCAACAAAAAAGAAACATAAAAATCGGTTTACACATGCCGGGAGTTATCGCGTAACATACAGTATACAAAAAGTACACAGTCGAATTGAGAACCTCAAAATTTCTTTATTTATTTATTTAGGCACATCAACAGGTAGTACATTATTACATTCAACAAATTGTATATTGCATTTCCGGTCATGGTCTGATGTAATGACCCATTACAGATATGCATAGCATTGACATGAGCAATAATACTATTTACTTAACACTAACATAGGTTATTAACATATAAAGATATTAGAAGAAAAAAACAATTAATTAGCCAGTTTACGCACAGTACTACCTCTAAGACTCAGTATTAACAAGACCCTCCATGAAGTGGCCCAACAACTTACGTTTGAGCCGCAGTTGCGAGTCTTGGAAAATGTCAATATTGACAGAAGCTGTGAGGAAGTTGTATTTCAATAGTATTTTGTTAATTGGCGAGTGCCGACCTAGGTTAGTTCTACAAGGGGAACACAAAAAATCTTTCGTATTTTTTTGTCTAGGATAGCTATAAGGGACTGAGAATAGGAGAGATTCCACCAGCTCATTATATTTTATGCGTCCTCTAATAATATTGGAAAGAAACATGATCCCCAGAGTAGTAGACGATCCCGTAGTGAACACATACTGTAAAATTCTAAACGACGTATCGATTTATTTCAATGCGATTTTCAAGCAAATCCATTCAATAGAAAGGCAAATAGTATTTTTCGAAAATTCATCTAGATCAGAAAGCAATACACATTTTGTAATAATATCATTAAATTTGAACAAATCTCGATTTACGACAAATATTTAGTTGTAAATAGTTTAATAATTAATTATATATAATATAACATAAAT